GGACAACGCAACAGCTACTTGCGTGGATCCGAAGTTTTCTCTCTATATTTGGTGTAAAACAAACCTCTCTAATAAGCGGATACCAGCCAATTTCCTCATAATAGTGGAACCACTGTACATTGTTTGCAGATGATCAAAGCAAAACAACCATGCCATAATCTTTTTGGAAGCGCGCGGGAATTAACCTGTCCGTCGTACAACCTGACCCATGTCGTATAATGAAAATGGTACTTTAATTGCTAGAAAAATAAACGCGCGCACGATCAAGTCTTCAATATTTTCAATAGAAGAAGCAATTGGCAGTTGGATGCAAAAGATCCTTGCACATTAGTGTTCCTGGTATAGACGCGCGCGCACATTACCCAGTCTGTATATGGGCCACGCTCAACTATAAACAAACAATCGAACTGTATATAGCCAACCTTTGTTCTATTGGGGATTCTTTCCAGGTCCCTCTTGATTGCTCTACACTTTACGATAGTGAGATCTGATATCGTAAAATGAATATGAAATCAAATATTTCTAGCGTCAATYGAAAAGAGAAAGACAGAGAGAGAGAAAGAGGAAAGTTAAGTTCATTTTAGATTTGATAATGTTTAATAGAATTTCAAAGTTTTCGTATTATTGAAGTTGTGCATTCTTCGCTTAACCTGCGTTTCTTGAATATTTTTATGTCCAAATGAGGCTAACCCTGTGTTAATGTGTGTACATGCAAAGAACACAGTGGTATCTTACTAATATCAAAAAGTCCTTACTAGCCTCGTCCCCAGACCACTAATTGTCAGCTTCGAAATCCAACTGAGAGGCACACACGTGACGTGATGCCGAAAGTCGACAAGACTAGCCTGGGGACGATGCATCAGTGAATTAATTCCACCGTTCCGATTCCCTTTATTCCTGTCCTGTTATTCCAGGACCCTAGCACCCATGCTCATCATGTGACAGCTCGGTCTACAGGATTATTCCAAGATCAACAACACTGGCGTGTCAAGGTCAAATTCCCCGTTGACTGGTAAACTTCATAAGTTTTTCGTGTCTATCGCGATGTTATTGAGATGTTATTCTTGTTTCTCACAAGGATTGGGGAATAATAAGGAGGCTTGTTTTGATCGAAAACATCATTATATCATTGCATTAACTACATAAAAAGGGTTTCAGCTTCMCGAATATAAACCCTTTAACATTTCCTTACATTTTCATGTAACAGCAGGTCACTCAGGTGACCTTAATTTTTTCGAAAATCCGCTCGCTATGAGTATGGGAAATATAAGTAGCCACAAGAACAATRGAGTTTGTTGCTCAGATATATATCATCTTACGGAGAACACATTTTCTCCATAATTGTTATTGCAAAAACGTTTTATAATCAACCTTATCTTATATTCCGCCCATGAAAGATAGTATAATGTCATATTGTGTAATATTACAAAGCTATCGATACCCTTTAGCTGATTAATATGGATTGTATCATGCAACGGAGTTGTTGGAGGGTTGTTGGATAAATCATGGACATGTTTTTACTCGCGTGTATAATTATAGATCAGGGGAGATGATGTATATGACATATCAGGACTATCAGTACGAGGGCCAACCTTCCGTGGAGCTATAGCTTGATCACTTCTTTATGCCTTCATTTAGCACATTTTATGAGTAAACTACCAGTCACTGATTCAAATCAGTGATGTATAGCATCGCTTACAGACCCAACTACAAAATGATTTGACGAAATTCTCTAGAGTAGAATGATATGATGCTTGAAGAAACAGAAATTGTCCCACGCAATATAACTTTACTTAAATTCAGCAACTATAAATAAGCAAACTAATAACACAAAAATAAAATATAAGCATATAAAGATATTACCTGCAACTGCTAGAAGCAGTATTACGAAGAACTTCATGTTTACGGTTGTTTAGTTGTATCTCAAACGCTGAAGAAAATCTTGGGGTTCTCACTGCACGAGTTGTTGGCTCGATTTAAAGATGCGTAGTTCAACGGAAGTAGATGTAAYCTGATCGCGAAGATGGACACTGACCTTGCATGACCAGCAGGACAGCCCAAGGCCCACACGATCTTGTATAATCACGTTCACAAGCACATTTCAAATATCAATATTCAATTTAGGCAGTCCTTGTCAGTCCTATTGACTATAGTTAGCCATAGTAAAGAGCTGAAGGGAGAATGTGTTATGAATATAAAGCACGTCCGCACTACTTGGACCATTTCTGCTGGAACTTCTCGTTAATAATTATAAAATAATTTGCCCGGYTTCTTTGGTACGCATCTAAATAAGTCTGGCCGACCGCGAAAATTAAAAAGATACATACTAGAATACATTTTAATATCGGTAACTGAACCTGGGATAAATCAATCAAAGCATAAGTTTAGTATCAAGGCCTTATGCGCAACCGAGCACCAAGA